CTTATTCTTTATGATTTACATGACTAGCACATGTCATCATAGAGAAAAAGCAAGAAACTCTCAGTAGGACAGCCTGATTCCTTGATAATTAAAATATTCTGTTTTAAAATAGAAAGCATATGTATCCTAAATATTTAAACATTAGAATATAAAAGTATCTTGGGAAACTACTTTAACAGTCTTAGTAGTATCTCACTTCTGAGAAAAGAATCCATAATCCGGTTATGAAAAATAAGCACAAGTTACAGTTATGTTTTTTCTTGTGATAATTGAACTTGATTCAGTATAAATGCTATCTTATTCCTCCAGACTTCTACTTGTAAAAGCTATGCCCTATCTATAACATTTTCATATAAAAAGTATATAATTCCATTATAGTTTGTTGAAATTCATTTTTTGCTTCCACAAATACTCTCAGCTGAAGAAAAACCTTTAAAAAAACCCCATGTGTCCCCAGAGACACTAAATGCATCATTAAATGTTGAAAACAGGCAATATGAAAAAGGAATAGCACCCATTTTAGAAAAGAAAAAGGCTACATATCTAGAGAGCTCTTTTTCAATACTCAGAATCTTACAGTTTTCAGCAAAAGACCACAGTTCATCTCAGCTCCTTGTGCCAAGCATTTCTTCTGAAAAGCTTTGTGCAATTACTTTACAGCTAGAAATAGAGACTTTTAAAGTTACACAAAATCCAGAACTACTAGGTAATGGAAATTCTACAAGACAGCTATGAAGACAACTGTCATCTTCTGCAGGTTACTTGACAGGCAACATTGTGAGATAAATTTATTCCCTGCACTCTGCTAACCGCACTCCTAGTAATGACCATTTGGGCATTTTGTTTTTTCAGAAAGCTCTTTGGTGATTTAGCAAGGCACAGCTGTACAAAGTGCTGGATTTGAACACTTCCTGTCAAACATTTTCAAAGGTGACTTCCTTAGGGGTTTATTTTTTGGGGGGATGTGTTTGAGCTCTTTCTCCCTGAAATTATTTTCTGACTTACAGAGGAAACACTGCTCTGACTGCTTTTCTAAAGTGAAAGTAAAGCATTAGACTTTTATCTTTCACTACTGCAAAGAACGTGGTTGTAAAGTAATTCTTAGTAAATATGCACTAACATTACTGCAAGATCAGACCCTTAAAACATCTATTCCTGTTTCACAGGCTAGTTTCATCGAATCTTTTTATCTTTGAGCACAAAATCTCACTTTTGTGTTTCAGAATGCATAGCACTCTGCACTATTACAAAACTTGATAAGTAATAATTTACTTAAAACAAATTCCCAGCACTAAGGATATCAATAAAACCCAGAACTAGAGCATAAAATTGAAGAGACAGTTACACAATTCTGTGTGTGCTTGCTGCCCTAGCTCACCGCTCTGCATCTTCACATCAACCTAATTCATTTGACACACAGTCTCCCCACAGCTGAGAAAGTCCCGCTTCCTTACCACTTCTTAGGAAAAGCTTAAACACAAAACTTGCTATGTTTAAGTAAAGTTAAAGTTGTGACACAAATCAACAAAAGGCAGGAAATTCAAAGATAATACTGACAATCCATGCTTAATTCGTGATTGCCTAACAAAGGGGCGAAACGCTACAAGGAACTAATGTTTAGCTTTAACTTCACTCTGTCTCTGCTCTTGGGGAAACAGGTGTTTATCTCAAAATTTATACTAATTCAGTCTGTCCTATCAGTCTAGATGCATTATAGTGATTATTTAGCATTTAACAATGTGTTGGATGTAAAAAAAACTTTTAAACTAATTGTCAACATCCTAGCATGTTACAAGACATCATGAATTAAAAATACATCTTGAGAAAATTATGCTAGACTTATGTAAGGATATAATAATATCCTTAGGAATAATTTCTTTCAGAAGTAAACAAAACATGTTTTTTATACACAAAAGTACAAAATTATTCATTTTGTAATGTAACATGAAATAAAGAATGGTTAACAGCTCTCAGTATGTATACATACTTCAATTCTTGTTTGAATCCTATCTATCTGTATACTATAAAGAATATTTTTCTGGTCAGAAAAATGTCACCAAAAGGAATGAAGCCTTCGGCGACATAATTAGAGTGTAGGGGGTTTTATTTAATCTTATAGGCTTCCAAATAAAATGTGGTATTTTAGTGCACTTTAAAAATACTAATTACATAAAAAAATATGCATACCTGGTAGCTTTGTATACTATCTATCCTATGCAGAAATTAAAAAAACAAAAGAAGGACATTAATAAAATGACAAAGATTGCACTTCATAGCCTTCTCTAGATGACACAAAATTACCTCACGCATACATACCTTATTGAGTTAATTGAAGGACAACAATAACAGATATTGCTGTAATTATTATTTATTTACTGAAGTTATTATTGATAAATTAATGTATCAAATGATAAAAATTTTTGCTGGAAATTAGCAATATTACTGTTTTTTTTCCAGTTGAGTTACTAAGCCATTATGATCTTGTCCCAGACATCAAAATTCTGCTAACTTTCATAGCATAAAAAAACCTACCACTGAACAATTTCAAAAAAGGCTTTCAAAATCCTGTATCTGTACAAACCTAGCGTCAAGATTTTAATTGCCAAAGCAAAGACAACTCTCAGGATTTCACCCTCAGGATTATCAAAAGCAGAGCACAGTTGCACAGGACTGTGCTCCCACCCAGTCACAGCCTCATAGAGCCTGAGACACTCCCTGGCGGAGCCCGAACAAATGCATGTGTGAAGTTGTTAAGTCTTTGTTAGACCACGGGACACCACCTAAAAGGTTCCCTGAGAGCTGTGCTTCTCAGCTGATTTCCTCTGCTGAGGACGAGAGGGCTTGAAAAGCCTCTGAGGGACAGTGGCTGCTCTTCTCTCCTTGAGAAGAGAGACGGATTCTTTGATAAAGGAGGTTCAACAACGAAAAGTACTCGCAGCACTGTAAGGGGCTCGTTTTTTAACTTACAAAAGCAACAAAAGCAAATGCGAAAAAGTCTTCAACTGAATTGCCAGGAAAAAAATGAGAAAAGGGTGATGCCTGGCTCAACACTGCAACACTCTTGTTAACCTAATTAACATTCACTTGCTATCACATTTTTAATCTAAGGCAAAAACTTGACTTACTTAGAAACCATAAATTATGCTTAGAATTCTACTTTGTTACAATTTGTTTAGCATGTTCAGATATTAAAAGCAGAATTTATTTGTCAGGTTGGCATGCTGAGACATGCTGAAGATTATAATGCTAATCAATTAGTCAATAAAGTATCAAAAATCAGTATCTCAGCTGTTTTACTGGATCCTTAATAGCAAAAATAGTTAAATTTTTAAGCAAATAGTAATGCATTGTAGCAACACTATCAACAGAAAATATTCTCAAAGTCCCAGTAACTGAGTGCAATGATGCTAAGTGACTGCAGATTACAACATGATAGTGACAGATGGACTTTAGTGTACAGAAGGGAAGCTGAGGTTGGATAGAGCTAATCAGCCAAATGCTACATTTATTCTCTACTCATTCATTCTCTGAAATATGCTTCCTGCCTTCTATGTAGCTACGGACACTTCCTTTTCTCCCTCTTTATTCTTTCATAAATACAGTTCTCTCTATCCTAGGTTTCTTTGCTTCAGTTTTTCAGTTGTTTCCCTACTTTGGGGAAAATCATGTTTTCCTCTGAGTAACTGCAGTGAATGAAGGGTAGAATCAGTTTGAGAAATTATTGATCCTCAAGACATGAATTCCATTATGCCCATGATAACTCTTTCCACATGGGGTGTCAGATCAGAAGGGATACGAGTAGAGCCCGTAGATTCACAGTACACAGAGGGCTAAATCTGCCTCCAGACCCTGTCCTTCAGCAGTGACAAGCAGCACCTTCATTATTATCACCTTGTGTTCTGCAGACAATTGCCCTCCCTGAATTTCCACATTGCACAAATTCAGAAATTCATCTTGGACAAGAGCTGAGAAAAAAAACATTTTTAACTCTGACAACATCAATTCTGCCCAATGAAGTACAAATAACAGCAGGTCAGAAGAAAGGGCACTGAAGGCCCGTGTTCCCTCTCCCCTGGCAGGCTCCAAGCTCTGCAGCTGCAACAGCTGCATGGTTCCAATACTGTGCACATAAGGTGAACAGAACTCTGCAGAACAACATACCCTTGAATGCACAACACAAACCCCTCTGAAGTGCAGAATTTGAAAAGATAAATAGAAGAATGAGTTTGCAACCAGTGGAATGGTAATTTATCACTTTGACATAGTAATTCTTTATTAAATCTAGGGACTATCAAGTTTAAAAAAATAGTGAATGAGAAACAAAATAATCAGCAAGCCTGGAATGAACATCTCAAATATACAGTTTTTAAATCCTACTGAAATTTAGGCATGAAAGAGACAGATATTTGAGAATCTGGTCTTATGGCAAAAGTAAATGTCTTATTTAAGGTCAGTGTCTTATTTGAAAGAACAAAGCAGCCTTTCCAAACAAGCACTAGAAGTTTTCCTATTCTAAATAAAAGATTTGTCTTTCTAAGTGGCCTATCAGAGAAGAAATTTAATTCCTAAGATGCTCCTCTCTCTTCTTACCATAACAGAATATTTGAAGGATCATCAACTTCATTCAAATTTTATGGCCTACAACATCAATCCACATTCTTGTTTAGTTACACTTTTATAGCATCTAGAAACACATATATACTTTTTGATTGTCTCTCAGATGTTCTCCTGGTCTCCAGGACTTTTCAGAGGGGACCTTACCCAGTCTGCCCAGAAATTGCTAATTCTGTAAGGATACTTTGCAGCAAATATATACACTGACTTTTATACTTCCAATCACAGATATTTTTAAGAAAGTCAAACACTTTTTATAAATTCCCTATTTTTATGGATGAAGGTTTTGAAAATTTTGATCTCTACATTTCCAACACTTTGATAACATTCACTGTGAACCCCAGTTCAATCTTCACAAAAAATAAAGATATAGGCATATTACATACCATAGTCTGTGATCTTACAGGATACTAAATACAGTTCTTTCAGGTTCCGTCCTTCTCTGGCAATCACCTCCACACATCTGAAAAACACAGTAAAATGTGTTACTGTTAAAAGTCAGTAAATCACTTTTAAATATCAAGAGCACACTCCACAGGTAAAATGTACTGTATCTCAGTTTCTTAATTTTCCAAATGGCTCCATACATTTCACTGAAAATGAATATGGCAACATGTTTACACTACAGAAAAATATTATTTTAAATTTAATGTCTTTATACGGGTATTCCCCTAAGTCTCTGAATATGTGAGTTGCTTGAAATGCATACAGACAAGCACTTTGGAAAATGACACAAATGTGAATTTCCATTTCTATATTACTTTGCAAAGTTTTCTGTTGCAAATTTTAAGCTTTGACAGATTTCTTCTAGGGAAGAACTATAAACGCACTGTAATGAGGACAAAATATAAGAAAATGTAATTTTAAATTCCTGTTTGTATTTCTTCAGTGAATACTGCATGAGTCAGCATTGATCAGGTCATGAAATGTTACACGATCATGGTGTTCCAACACATTGCTGGAGAAGCTTGTATAGATGAGAAAGCAGCTCATTCATTTGCCTCATCATGACTATGATGAATACGCTATAAAACACAGAGATTTTTATTATACTCTTGCTATTTGTTTGTGTAAGCAAGAAAATGAATATAAATTAATTAATGAAATTAAACAGCAGTTTATTATGTACTTGTCACCAAGCCTATATTACAATGCTTTGCTTCCAACTGCATTGTTTATAATTCAGAAATCACAGAATCATAAAATACATTTTCAATCCTATTAATGTGGATCAGTTGTTCATTAGATCAGCTAGCATTGTGCTATTTTCTACATGCATTTTATTGGATGAATTATAAGAATTTCTTCCAATCCAATATATTCAACTTCAATTTTCAGGTCAATTACCCAATCACTTACTCTGACACTTAAATCAACCCTTGAACAGTATACAAAATTAAATTACTTGCCAATTTTTAAGAAAATAAGAATTGCTGAATTTGTCATACTTTTGAAAGATACACCTAAATCCTCAGGGACCTTTTTCCTCCACTTACCACTTCCAATAGATTATCTCCTAATCTAACTGTTCATGCTGGCAATTTTAGCTTTTAAAAGCAACCACCTAATTCTTACAGCTCACAATAAGACAATAACTGAACAATAGCCCTTCATACCTATTTGTCCTCTCCCTGCTTCCATCTTCTAAAATGTACAATGAAAATTCACTACTTCTAATAAACAGCACATGTCCGACAGAGTACTTTAATCACAGTTCCTTGAACACTATTATAAATATTCAATCCTGGAAAACTGTGAGAGTCTGATATTTAGAAGTTTTTGCAATTCTCATCATTAGGTAAAGGTTACCTTAAGTCACGAACACACAAAGAAAATAAATAAATATTTACACCAGGACTATGTTTTTTAATGTAGCCTAACCTCAGAACTACACATTTTCCTAAAATAAGGTACAATTCAGAGCACTAAACACATTCCATTTACATGGAAAATTTCTTCTGTTCCTGTCAGACATGGTTTTGAAGAATATACTCATCTTTGTTAACTAGTTTATTAAGATAACTAAATCATGAGAAAGTATTTTTATTATTTATTCCAGAAAAATACTTTCAAATAATGAGATCTTATTGCTATTATTGGTAATATGAATAAAAGGAAAATCATTATCATATTTTATTAGTACTATTTTCACTAGGCATTTCATCAAATAAGATATAATTGAAGAGTCAATGGACACTGCAGTTAAAATAAGTTTTTATTATCATATATATAATTTAGCAGAGCAATCATATAATGAACCACTTCTTACACTGGGATAAAATTTCTGAACCTAAAAAATATTTTGTAATCTGTAAAAAGGTTTTAAAATTATTTTTGCTAATTTTTACTCACTGAGAGACAACTAATCTAACAAAACTGAAGTATAGCAATCAGTGTCTAAAAATACCACCACAAGGCAGTCAAGATGACATAAAAGACTAACTAATATTCTCTACAACTTCAGTTGCACACGTGTATTATCTGCACAAATGCACAAACACTTGACTGTGTGGCCTGTGGCCCCTATAAATGCATCCTTCAATCCTTCCAGGTAGTGCCAGCTCTAAGGGTTAAAGTTTATTAAAGTGGCTTGAGTGACTCCAGTCCTGTTCTCAGTGACATCTTAAAGTCTAAATGAAACAGTCTTCACTTTCTCCAATACGGAAAAGAAAACCTTCACTGTCTTCAGCTATATTCATTAAACTGGGAAGAAAAAAAACCAAAATGTAAAAAGAAAAAAGGTTAAAACAATGGTCCTTTGACTGCCTCATTTTTTTCTGCTTTTTGAAAATATGAAAATCATCTAACATCTGAGAGAATGAGGTAATGGCACATTTTGTTTGGAGGAAAAAAATTACATGTAGCTAAAATACTGAATTGAATTAATGTGCTCTTGTGTGCTTTCTATACTTTGCATAAGTCAACCTAATTCCAGCTTTAATTTTTATTACCCTTCCTATAGATCATCCTCATGTAAATCAACCTACAGAGACAGAAGAAACACTTTATATGGCCTCATTGCCTCTGCTCTATAGACGGTCACACAATACATAATTGCTTGTAACAACTTCTTTACAACATAAGGAAAAATAAGAGTAGCTGTGTATTTATTGCTTTTACCTTTTAATCTTTGTTAAACATGACAGCAAAGAAAAAGGTTAAAGGAAAAAAATCAAATTAACCTTTTCTAGAAAGCAAGGATCATCTTAATTCTGTTGCAATAATCCATCAAAATGATGTCAGAATATTGTCATATCTATCTTTGAAAGTATTTATATTTATATTGTTGCTGAATTAGACAACAAAGAAGCCTAACCAAAAAATAAAAAGCAAACCAAAAAAAAAAAAGCAAACAAACAGCATCATACTGGTAAATAAATGAAAAATTGTTATTATTTAAAGCTGTGACAAATTTCAGGCTGTTATCAGTTGTACTAAATGTATTAAAATAGAAACAGTCTTCCAGAAAGAAAAGAGATTTTTACACTCAAAATAACTTACTATGAAAAAATGAGACAAGGAATAAAGAAATAAAACTGTAGTTGGAGGTTTGCTAATATACATGCCTGGATCAGAGCTGGCCAAAGTTGAAATCTTTTCACTTCCTACTTTGCAAATGAGTATTATTTAGAACTATGTAGCACATTAAAATATCAAAACAGAGAACATGAAAAATTTTAGGAAGACGCTGATTATTTATTAAACCTGAAAATATTATCCAATAAATGCTTACACCAAGCTTTCCCCACTCAATATTTTATGAATGCTGTTCTCTGACAGACTGTTAGGCAATTCCGTTTTATTGCATTTGATTCTAAAACTAAGAAATTAATATCACATACTGTGAAATTTATAGTGCAATAAGGAGCAAGAAAAAGGCAAAAAGCACAAACTGGTTTGACATAAACCAGCCAATCAAGCAGTATTATGAAGTCAAGAATATAACTAAAAATGTACCCACATACTGTTAATTCAAAATAGGCTTACAAGACCACAGAAGTCTGTAAGATAACTGGAAATGTAAGATAACTGAGTACTGTGATGTTGAACATATCCACACTGAAAACATCTCAAAATTCATGACATTCTGAGGCTAATAAACCTAAGATTGCCTCTTATGGTTATAATTTCTTAAGATGTCTTTCTACTTCGTAAACTAAAAAAATCTCAAGGTGAAAACAATGTTACTCAACTTTTAACAATGGCTATCAGGAGAAAACTCTCCATCTGGGTTACAGAAACTACAGAAATTTATCCACTAACACGTACTTGTGTATACAGCTCTTCCCACCTGGTCTGGAGAAACGAAAAATTACTTAGGTTTACAAAGAGTAACTGGTATAAAGCTTCTCTGCCAACCTATCTCTTCAAAAGCCACAAAATTGCATGACTGAAACACAGATATGTCTACCAGAAATTTCCAATTTAGGTCCATATTCTTGACAACTTCACACATACAAATATGTCCAAAGATTTCTCAGACTCAAGGTTATGATTTCCCAAAACTTAAGAGCTTAATAATAATAATAAAACTCGAACAAACTAGAAAAAATAAGTCATCTGAAATCCTGTAATTTTTCTTCTCTCAGCCAATTGATCCCTACATTCCTTGTCCTGAACGGAAGGTTAAGGTTAATGAAATAAACTGCAAGCTCCTACCTGTAAGAAAAAATAACACAGATCCTTAAGTTATGCAAAATAATTCTATTTATATATATATATATATATGTCTGTGTATGTGTGTGTGTGTGTATGTATTTTATATGCGTGTGTGTGTATAAACACAGCTATTATATTTCTGATCTAAATCTTAAAGCATTGGAAAATTGTATTTGTGGCAACTGAGAGGAACTAATGAGAAAATATGAGCACAGTATTTGCAGTATAAGTGGTCCTGGGAGACCTTGTTACAGTCTGAGACTCTTCAGCCCTGAGTGGAGCTAATTGGAGTCACCATGTACTGGTGATGAGCCTTCAGTCTGAGGGGGTGAGTGAGCTTCACCCACCAAAGAGGTACAAAACCCCCAATACATTAAAAAAACACATTGGTAAGGTTCAAAACGAACATCAAACTGCTTGCAAATCTTCTCTGGTATTCGACTGTATTTGTCTAAGCAGTCAAGTAAACACCTCGCTATCCCTCAAATCATAACCAACAGTACTACTGGGAAGCAAGAGGGAGCTTGGAAAGAACAAGAACACTAAAATATGCCATGGAAACCATAAACCTCTCATGAAGAAATATACAGTGCTCCTCAAAAATTAGCATTTCAAGCATTCAGGCAGAAAAAATTAGCTGCACATGAAACAACACTCAGAGCCATTGGTTCTGATGACTTAAATATTACAATGGAAGGCAGTAATGCAATATAATAACCAAATCTCTCCTGTAACAAAACCAAACTTCTGACCACAGAAGCACATATGGTCTTAAGAAATTGATGTAATCTGAGGCCTACTGCA